AAATGAGATTATTATTATTATTACAGTTACTGATAATATCATTTCTAAATAACTTATATTTGACATATTAATGTTTACAATATTATTGTTTTTATTTTTAATTGTTTTGCCTATTTCATATCCTGTGAATATGAGTGGAATTGAAATAAAAATTTTATTCCAAAATCCCATTTTAATCCCATTTATTTTTTTATTTTTTTTTTTTTTTGTTATTTTTAATTTTTAAATAATTTGTTTACGTAATTAATCAATTTAAAATGTTTCTTATTTATATGTTTATTTAATTTTTTACTTGTTTGGTAACTTTTACCACAGACAAAACAATTGAAATTATTCATATTTATAAAAGAAAATTTATTATTATTTTTTTTTATTCTAAACATACAAAATACATACATAAAAAAAATACAAAATATAATAGAAATGTAATATGTTATTTCTGCTTATTTCTCCGCAGGTTCTTTATTTTTAGGTTGATCTCCTTCTTTTCTGCAATAGTTGTCGCCAGGTTGTACCTCTCGTACAGTTGGGCAATTTGCTTTCGTTGGCGAAATGCTTTCCCTCTTCGTCTATTAGGTTTCTTCTGTGGTGGTGGAGTGTCAGGTGTGGTAGGTTGTCTCCTTGCCTCTTGCCGCCTTTTGTATTCCTCTATAGTTATTGGTTTTGGGCCAGCCGATCGTGGTGTAGGTACATATGTTGGATGTACTTCTTCGCGTTGCGCTACTTGTTCTGGTACGTATTCTTCTGGAGTTGCCTTTGTTGCTTGCAGTATTAGCTCGTACTTATGGAAAATTGCGTGGAAGGTCGCTTCATCTATCATATCGTCTAGGATTGTGTTGACTTCAATCAATTTAATTGAAGTGATTTATGATTGATAATTATAATTATAATTGATGTAATATATAATTGATAATTATAATTTTAATTGATGTAATATATTATTGGTCCGCTTGGCATTGAAGCCTGCAGAATTGCCATGTAATGGAAGAATGGACAATATTCAATCAATGTAATGGCTGGATCACCATGTAATGGAACTTCTTTATCAATGGAACTAGTGTAAGGTGTTAGTCCGTTCAGATGTAGACAGGATCGTCAGGTAAATAAGACGTAATACTTGTCTTGTAAGTGCGTGTAATTATCCCTGCCTAATACGAGCATGCATCAAAAACCTACTGATGCAATCAAGAACAAGTTATCAAGTGGCTTGTTACCGCTGGTACCTAGGCCAGTGTTACTTGGCCAGAAGGAGTGAGAATAAGTTCAACAACGCATGTATTTCTGCAGTCATAAGTATATATTCTGATTTTATTGAACAATAGTTTGGGTATTTATACATTTTTCTAGATTATAGCGATCTCATGACTCCGCCTCTTTATTCCAGACAAAACCTGGAAAAGTATAACCGCAGCCAATCAAAGTGATTGCTGACCTTGCAGAATGCATTGCATAGCGACTACACTGTTTGCTCATTTAGGTCAAACGTCAAAGTTATTATTAGAGTGCATTGACAATATTGCTTGCACATGTCTTTTGCAATATAGGAAATATTACTATTGAAAATACTGTAACATGTGTTCAGCAATTGGAACAGCGTGTGGCAATATTTTCGTTGGTAATACGACACTCTTTTGTTTATGTCGCTTTGCTTATGCTTCTTGTACGGTATGTATGAAGTGCAACCAATTCATAAATCTGCTTACTATTATTATTTATGAGTTATGTTAAGTGGCTAAGAAGTAAGTGAGGTAGGTCCACTACAGTATATTATATTTTTTGAATTTATTAAACAAAGACAACTATATAAGTTGTACTAAAGTTTTTGACATAACAAAATAGATTTTATAATTCCATTTTCCTTATTTTTGTTTCAATGTTTATTATTGTCTGATATCGAACATATGTGATGTTAAAAACAAAAATAATTATTGTTAATTTAATATTTGTGCCTTTAATAGTGTCATTTTATATATATGTTACTTAACGTATATATTGTTTTTAATTGTAATTTTATAAACCTTAAGTTGACCTTTTTATTAAAAAATTAAGGTAATATTTTAATTGTAATGTGTAACTTTTATAAGTTTTATTTTGTAATTTTTTTTTTTTGTATAATTATTATAGCACTGAAGATGTTCTAAAATAAAGAACGAAATATCTGCTTCTAAAAATTTTTAAATAAAAGCGTTTTATTGTGGTTGGTCTGATAGCTGAAAAAATTTTTCAACTTAAATAATATATTTATATACCATTTGTTTCATTTTCTTCCATATGTATCTTTGTTTAAGTTTTATCATCGTTTTACGATCTCCCATATGACCGCTGAGAGGGTTATTATGATATTCCTCTATCAATCTAAATTTTTGTATTGTATCTTTCACGTATTCCGGCTTTTTGTGTAACAATATTTTTAAACAATTCTTACTTTTATTATTTTGTTGCAACTTATTTATCATCGTCTTAAATTCATTTTTATCCATGGATTTAAATATAGTATCACCATCTGCTAACGCTAGCTGTAAAATATTTAATCTTTCTATTTGTGTAATAAGCTTCACCATAATCGATATCAGCTTCGGAGGTACTTCGCATAATTCCACTATAACTTCTTTATCGTTATATAATATGGATGCATCTTTATTTCTTTGTATATTTTTCATTTTAAACTGCAGTTTTCTTACTCCACGAATGTCGCTAATTGAAGTACAATCCCAACAATAGAGTTGATCAGGCTCAGTGGTTCTCGTATTCAATTTCGTATCCGTATTAGTTGTATTTGTTTTAGCGCTTTTTGATTTGCTTCGAGTAGTTATACATATTCGAGCTTCGTTATTCAATTTACTTAATATTTCTTCTTCTACCGGATTAGATAATTTGCGTTTGCGGTCGTGTCATCTTTTATTGGTATTAGTGATTGTAGTATACTAGAATCTATTTTGATTCTAGATAAGGCATCGGCGTTAGTATTTATTTTTCCCTTTTTATAAATGATTTCAAAATCGTAATCAGATAAGTCTACCCGAATCCTTGTCATCTTTGACGTGGGACTATTATGTACGAATAAAGATATTAAAGGTTTGTGATCGGTTATCACATAGAAATGTTTGCCATATACATATGGCCGAAAATAGTTTATTGCCCAATGTATCGCAAGAAGCTCGTTTTCAATGACTGGTTTATTCAGATCATGTTTTTGTAAGGCTTTGCTTGCGTAGCATATTGGCAAATCTGAACCGATTTCACCTTGTGATAGTACCGCTCCAAGTGCAAAGTCGGAGGCGTCAGTTGTTATTAGAAAGGGTTTGTTGAAATCTGGATATCTTAAAACAGGGGGACTTATTAGTATAGTCTTGAGTGTATCAAATGCATTGTCGCATTCTTTGGTCCATAGAAATTTTTGGTTCTTCTTGAGAAGAAGGTTTAGTGGTTTTGCAATCAATGCGAAATCTTTCATGAAACGTCTATAATAATTGCAGAAAGCAACATATCGTGTCACATCGTCAACGTTTGTTGGTTTTGGATACTCTTGTATCAATTTGTGTTTTAGTGGATCCGTCTTAACACCTTGCTCTGTTATTAGATGTCCTAGGTTTGTGACTTCGTGTTTTAAGAAGTTACATTTTTCTGGGTTCAATTTGAGATTATATTCGCTTAGTCTCTGAAATACTTTTTCTAAATTTAAATTGTGATGTTTCAGACTATTGCCAAAGACGATAATGTCGTCTACATACAAAAATGCTTCATTGTCGAGGCCTGTTAACGCTAAAGGTTACATCCGTTGGAAACTATTTGAGATAATTTTTAATCCAAACGGGAGTCTTTTAAACTCGTAGTGGCCATCTGTCGTTGAGAATGCTGTTTTTTGGTGAGATACCTTATCTATTGGTATCTGGTGTAATGAACTAGTCATGTCTAGAGTAGAGAAGTATCTAGCTCTTCCAAGTCTGTTTAATATGTCCTCAAGGCGTGTTAGCGAAAATTTATCGTTAATTATTTTGTCGTTAAGTTTTCTGTAATCGATCACTAGGCGCCATTTTTTGTTGTCGTCAGTAGATTTCTTGGGTACCAGTAGTATTGGAGAATTATAAGGACTTTTCGTTGGTTGAATGATATCATCATTTAAAAGATTGTTTACTTGTATCTTGATATCGTAGTTGTGGGTATGAGGTAGTCTGTAATTCTTAATAGAAATGGGCACATTGTCTGTGGTAGATATATGTTCTGAATAGAAATTGTTGTGAGTTAAAGGCTCACCTTCCAAATGAAATATATATTGGTATTTTTTTATTAGTGAGGTAAGTTTCTCACTATCACATATTTGTTTAGTATTTAACTGTAATTTACTTAGAACTTTTTGAAATCTATCTTTATCATTATTTGGTATATATCTATTGTTAATGTATGTAGTTATAATGGCTTAAAGAATGACTTTCAATATTCAATTTATTGAGAGTGACATCATATTCGTTTGTATTAATTATACGTATGTGACAGTTACCACTAGCTGGCACTATAGTATTTGCTATGAAGACACCTTTATCGATTTCTTTCGAAATCAGTAGCGTATCTTCTTTAAATCGTATATCTATGGGTAATATATTCTCTGTTCTAGCAGATAATATTATCGGTTTATATTGAATAGGTATTATTATTTGTTGCCTATTAATCGTGATTGTGAAAGAAAAATCACTCTTCTCTTCCAATTATACCGTCAAGTTCGATAGGGAAATCTTCTTCCACTACAGAAAATTCATGTTTTACTAACTGTCCTTCAAAATCCATTTCAATTGTCGAGATGCCTAAAGATGACTTATAATTGTCTGTTATACCTATTAATTTACATGTAGTTTTGGAGTCGTACATTAGGTTAAATTTGTTTTTTATTATGGAGACGTCTGCTCCAGTGTCAATAAGTAGATTCACATGGGTGTTTAAATTTATACAAAAAATGTTTATGTAATTGGAGATATTTTTATTTAGATTATAGATATTCTTTTTCTTTATACCAGAGGTGAATTCTCCATGTTTCCCTCCGGTCGCCTGCAGTATTCCTGCATGGTTGCCACGTTTATACGTCTAAAATTTGTATGTGAGTTCCTCTGTATTTGAGTTCCTCTCTGTTGATTATTGACCCTCATGTTGTAGTCTCTATGATGGCTGCCGCGATTGTTTCTCTGTTGATTACGGCTGTAACCATTATTATTGTTGTATCTACGGTTGTTCGAGCCTACGTCTCTATTACCGTATGACCTATTTTTTAGTCGATATTGGGGTCTTTCCTCATGCTGTGAACGTCTTTGAGTATAATGACCACGGTGTTGTTGTGTATATAAAACTTGTTGTTTATTCTCTGGTAGAATCAAGTTTTCGGCAAACGTCCTAGCTTCTTCAAATGTTTTAGGTTGAGCTGCTTGTACTGTTTGAGAGTACTGAGCATTTAAACCTTTTTTGTATGCTAAAAATGCATGTTCTTCATTGCATTTCATGATTATGTCCCCTTTTAAAGAGTTTTTATTGACATTTCTCTTTAACAAAGTTGCTGTATTAAAATTTGCCAGCAAGTTAGACATCTTGTCTCCAAAGTCTCTAATAGGCTGGTTGTATCCTTGTTTTAAATCGTAAATTTTTTGGAGTAATTGGGGAACCGACAATGTGGGAATATAATTCAAATTCAATTTTTCAACTAGTTCATTTAATGTATTAGGGTAACCTACAGATGAAACCCTAGCACGAACATTGTGATGAATTTTACACTCTACCACGTATTCTAAAAATTCGTTTTTGTTTACGGTACGTAATTTTTTATCATATGTAATCAATTTGTGCAAGAACGAACTCAGTTCTTCCTGTTTCCCTGTGAAGGTTTGTATGTATTTTTCAACATACTCAACATTGAGTTCTACAAGGGTAGACATGACTGTATTAGTTGTTTGGTTAGATGTTGCTGAAGAATTATTACTGCTAGCAGTGTCTGTGCTGCTAGTATTGTCTTCTGAGGTGGACATATTCACTAAATAAAGTCTTGTTTTATTGTAATTATGGAAAAAGTTTTCTTTTAGTATGTCAGTTTCTTCTAATTTTGAGGTTATATACAGTGAATTCACCTCTTTTTTTAGATTCTCTAACCTAAGTAATTTATTTTCTATTGTTTGTCTAGTGTATCCTCTACTACTTGATTTCTTTGCGTTGTTAAAAATTAATTGTACCTCTCCTAGATTTTTTATGATTGTGCCCATGAGACAACAATATTGTTAAAGCGATTGAGTGGGATTAGATTAGCAATAGGGTTAAAACTTTCAAGAGAATAGTGGAACATACGTCTAAAATTCAATATTATAATAAGCTAGTGAAGTATACAACAGTCATATAATTTTCATCAGTTACTATGAACTTTAATATTACAACGTTCAATCTATATGTTTTCAGAACTACATATTTTAAAAAAAAATTTAAACTTAATTTAAATTTATACAATTACATTTTATTACTTATCATTTAACAAGTGTAACTATTTATTTATATATTTATTATATAATAAAAAAAAAATTTGTAGGTATATTTGAATTACATAATTTTTGTATGAAAAAAAAATTTTGGAATATTTTTATACATTTGTTTTATATATATATTTTTTTTTGTTTTTTTTTTATTTATTTTAAATTTATTTTACACATCATTGCCTATATTCCTAAGTACATGTTTATGTACATATTTTTTAATGTATTTATCTATCTTGTAGGCAATGAATATAATTAAAGCTACTAGTAATAACGTAATAAGTGCTACCTGTAAATTTCCTGAGGATGTTGTTTGGCTGTTGTTTATGTTGTTTGTGACATCGGTTTTCTGTTGTTGTTTGTTTCCCACGTTGTATTCGTCGCTTGAGAACCATCCCATTTTGTCTTCTTTTTTATGTACTTTGTTTACTGCTTACTTGAGTCTGTGTTATTTGTTTAATTAATGAATTTAGTTTTAAATAACTTAATGTTCAAAACGCTTCGCATATTGATTAATCATTAATTTTGACACTAAAATTTAGTTGTTTGATAATTGAATAATTATTTCAATGGGCATTATTATTTTGAATTCTCACTTTCACCAAATGGATTATAATATTGAATTTAAATTTTAAATAAATTCATTTCCAAAACGTTTTATTTAATGTTTATTTATACATTGTTATTGTCATTGAAATTTATTTTTTTTTTTTTGTAATAAACTGATTGTTTCAGTAAACATTATTGTTTTGAATTATCACTTTCTCACTATAATATTGAATTTAAAATAAATTCCTTTTTTAAAAACATTTTATTTAATGTTTATTTACACTTTATTATTGTCACTAAAATTTATTTCGTTTCTCTTATTTGAGTTTTTATCAATTTAGGATTTCAAAATTTTTTTGGTGCTTAGCCGTTTTGACAGGATCGCCATGTAATAATAATGTCTTGTATTAATAAGATTATATATATTAGTTAGTTTTTCCGTATCAATTAAATCAAACACTTCACGTTTTGCTCGTCATTTTTAGACTGATTTTTATTTTTATATTCTCCTTAAATCTAACATAATTTCTTATGACTAATTTCCAATAGAATCTTATCTAATGATTCTATTGGTTAATACTTTAATTACAATCGTCTAATTGGTTAACCCAAATTAGACTTATATAATGTTTTACAACAAAAATAGTTTACATACATTTATCAGTGATATTCTACTTCAAAGTGGCACACATCTGGTGACCAACTGTATTGAGGGTAAATCATATTGCATGCACAATTGCTTGCAATATGATCTGTGAAACACTTAACATAAATTCATGTGCTGAGCATGCCTCAATCCAAATTGTCAAATGCATATTGGAACAATTAAATATGCATACAAATACTTTGTCATAAAGAAATGACAAAACAGACGAGTCAAATTTCTGACTCATAAATTATTTCATACTTGACAATTTAGGTTTTTCGGTCATGCTTGATTATTGAGTATTTCGGTTTGGTGTGACACATTAAATATCGCACATAACGTATTGTGTGTGGTCATGGTTAATATGCCACTACACCAGTGACGACTGCTCTAAGGTGCGGAGGTGTGCGGTGAACACCCTAATATAATTTGCAAAATGTTAAATAACATAGGTATATAAATTTATTAAGTATCTTTACATCAAGAATTATTATTATTTATTACATTTCCATATAAATATATATTTTTAAAGTTTTAGCAAAAACAATTAAATATAATTGTCTATGAAAACTCAATTAATTTGCTTCTGTTAGCCGCTATACTTGTTAGTTGTGCTCATATATTTGCAGCTCAAATCACAGAACATTTCTATTATATTTCGTCTCTCCCCTTTGTGTGCAAAGAAGTTGGCCGCACATTCATACGTTACATATGAACAAAATAATGTGCGTGTGCTCCCGTTCGTAATATCAGAAATAGAGATTTATATAGTGGGAATTGTATGAGAGTAATTTTCTGTTCTATTCCGAATATCAACTGCATGCATACGAATCCAACATGATGATTTGCCAAAGTGGTTGCATGAGCGGCTGAAGTTTGCAGCTCATCTCACCATACATTTCTATCACATTTCGTCTCTCCCCTTTTAACAGTAGCACCAACGAATTTCTGTCGCTTACTGTGCGGGGTACTTGTCCGCACATTTGTACGTTGCAATTGGGTTCGATTTTGTTTGATCACTGCATAAACATGTATGTTTCCAAATACAAACTCTTATGTTTGAAAAAATTTGGTTTGATGTTACGAGAATTATGTGAAAAATTTTGTTTCTTCCATATTGATATAATATTAAACTTATATATAAATTATTAATTTAATTTGTTTAATATATTATTTTATTAATGAATTGTTAATATAATATTGCGAATATATTGTTGCCTAATATAATATAGTTATTATTAATAAAACATCTCATATATTTTAATTTAAGTGGTACATGTAAAAACAACATTAAAGAAGGGCCGCACACCCTTCCAGATAGGGCACGCGTCGTCACTGCACTACACCCTGACCCTTTAAGAAAAATTTTTATTTTTGATTGTTTAATAATTGAAAAGAAAAATTTTGAATATGAACATTTTTTTCTTTATTTAATTTTTGACCATTTTTAACTTATGTTGTTACTATGAGCTTTACAATTATCGTTTAATAAGTTTTATTTTGATTTACAATATATTTATTTTATTTAATTAATTATCATTATATATAGCATCATTAATTTGTTTGAGTCTTACGTATTTAATTATATTACTGAATTAGATAGTACATTTTTGTAATATATAGATTGTTATTATCAAATAAACAAATTAAATAACAAGTCTAAAATCTAAAGTATTTTAATTTAATGAATTGAGTTTAAATGTTAATATAAAGTTGTCTTCTTATTGTCTTCTATTTATTCTCTTGAGGAAGTTCTATTACTAATTGTTTTATTATAAATTTTACTTTCATCTTCTTGTAAATAACTTTGTATTGTTCTTAAGTAGGGTTTTTATTTCATTGTTTACATTAACCATTACATTACTGTTATCTATGCCTGTTATTGTATAAGGACCTGAGTATGGACTTGTACATTTTCGTCTTTATTAATACCTCATCACCTATTTTCAGTTCTGCTGGGTGGCTGTCTTTTTTAGATATTTCTTTTCGTTTAACTTTTGCTTCTATACTAGACTTTCTTGCCTTCTCAAGCTATAACCTTGAGTCGTGCTTTTAGTTCGTTAGCATAATTATCTAGATTAAATCTACCTTGTGTATCATTTATTTTTTCGTTTGGTAAGGATGGTAATTTACCAAATACAAGCTCATGTGGTGTGTAACCTGTATCAGAGTGGGGGCAGTGTTGTATGCAAAAGTATAGTACAGTAACCAAACATCCCAGTCGTTGTCAGCGGCAAAGTTTAGTAGGTATTCGTTTAGAACTCTATCGTTCCTCTCTATTGTATCAAGTGTTTCATGATGATACGGGGTTGAAAATAATTGTTTAATTCCCATAATATCAGTAACTTTAGCAAATAAATCATTCAAAAATTCTGTACCTCGGTCTGATTTTAAAATCCTAAAGAAACCGAATTTTAGTATGAGTTGTTCTATTAATGTTTTGGCTATGGATTTAGCATCTTTATTAATCATTGGGTATGCAATTATGAATCTACTTAATTCACATTGCATAGTTAATATGTACCTATAACCGTTCGCTGGTCTTAAGGGTCCAACGGTGTCGATTTGTACTGTTTCGAAAGTTGTATGAGGGGTTGTAGTTATTTGGAATTCTTCTCGACTGTGACGGTTTTGTTTGTTTTGTTGGCATTTTTCACAAGTGGTAATATATTTATAATTAAGTTTGTTTATCATCTGGTTTCGTATTATTTAAGTTGAAAAATTTTTTCAGCTATCAGACCAACCACAATAAAACGCTTTTATTTAAAAATTTTTAGAAGCAGATATTTCGTTCTTTATTTTAGAACATCTTCAGTGCTATAATAATTATACAAAAAAAAAAAAAAAATTACAAAATAAAACTTATAAAAGTTACACATTACAATTAAAATATTACCTTAATTTTTTAATAAAAAGGTTAACTTAAGGTTTATAAAATTACAATTAAAAACAATATATACGTTAAGTAACATATATATAAAATGACACTATTAAAGGCACAAATATTAAATTAACAATAATTATTTTTGTTCTTAACATCACATATGTTCGATATCAGACAATAATAAACATAGAAACAAAAATAAGGAAAATGGAATTATAAAATCTATTTTGTTATATCAAAAACTTTAGTACAACTTATATAGTTGTCTTTGTTTAATAAATTCAAAAAATATAATATACATTATTATTATTTCTCTTAAAACATCTCAGAATCAATATCAAACGGTCAAATTATTTTCTTTCTTCTTTTTGTTTTCTTTTAACCGATATTTGTCAAGTATATTAGAATAAAGAGCACTGAAATTCTCTG